TGAGGTAAATAACAAAAACAATACAGTTTTAATTGACCGCTTTAAACCAGCGTATATGTTGTTAGAAAATATAGATACACTGGCAATTTCTCAGATTCCACATCAAAAAGTCCCTGAAGACTTAAACATTGTTCCAAAACAAGTAATCATTTACAGTGGACATTGTATTTATTGTCCCCCAAAAATTATCACTATAAAATTTAACAATTTTTCTCTTGTGGTCTGCTGCAAAAGTTACAGCATATAAATACTTAGATTTATTTTTTTTTTGCATATGTTTGGCAGTTGCTTTAAATTCTTATTTTATTAACTTTTCATTATTTTTATTTAATTAAGATATACATAATATTGTTATCTATTTCAATTGGAATTTAAGTATATTATTACTTGTATATTACTATTCATATATTTCGCATTTCTTATTTTTTATACTTAGATTTTAATGTATAACTTTTATTGAAATGTGTATATCTTAAATTGGAATTTTGCAATCAACCCCTTTTGTGCCGTGACTGTGTCACTGGGGGGGATACTCTTTGGCAGTCTTATTTTTGGCTGCATGTACTGCCAGATGATGTCATGTTGTTTTCATAACAACCACTAAAGCGATAAGCAATCTCATTCACATTGTCCTTATCTCATGGGCAGGGAAGGTTTGAGCATTCATGTAGAAGTTTCCTGTTTTAATGAATAGTTGCATTTTAGTGATGTGGGAGTCATATCTTCAAAGAATATTCACTGAGTCATATCCTTCACACCTATGTTCAATTTGCTTGTCTTCATTAATCAATCAAATCATTCATTAAGCATAAGTAGCATGGATATGTTTGGCATGGCAGAAGTCAGGAAAAAAGGAACTTAGTTCCTCACAAAGCCGTATTTATACTACGTAGGTGCAGAAAGTATTCTAAGGTATGATTGATCAATATTAGTTTTAGTTACTTTTTCAAGCAGTGTTATACTATTTGGAATGATCTCGAATTTGGGAGAAAGGATTAACTTTTAGGGCAGTGGTGGCGAGCCTTTTTTGGGGCCGTGAACCCAAAATGGAATGGCCGCGTTCCATTCCATTTAAGATATTAAATTTAATTATTCATAAGTTACCTCAAAATGCTTAGATCTGAAAACTGAAATCTATTTAACAATCAAAGTATTAAAACTCACTGGCAGTCTGCAATAAATTTGAATTCGTTTAGCAAACATTAGCTGCTTCAGCTTTGGCGTATTCTTTGCCATGTAACAAGTAATATGATTCGCCCAAACAAATGAAACGCTATAAACTGGGAATAAATATGTATATAATTTCTATTGTGATATATGAAAATCTTATATCTAGGCTTAGTGGCAAAGGGCTTAAGCACAGATATAGATATAGCCCTATAACAGCCTAAGCCTAAATATAGGTATAGCTGTATGCCAGTGGCATTCTACGATAAGTAAGTAAGTGAAACATTCAAGAACAGACTAAAACACTTATTTAAATTACATCGTATCATTTTATTGTGATTATTGACTAAGAAATAATATCTTAGTCACGTGCCGGCTGATATGGCTCTGCGTGCCGACTGTGGCACGTGTGCCATAGGTTTGCCATCAGTGAATTAGGGAGAGAGAGCATAAAATCTAGAATCGTTTATTTTGAGGTCGCCAATTATTTCTTAAAGCAGCCATCGCATTTTGTTGTATCTTACATATATATATAGGTACATATGTATTATCACAAAGGAAGAAAACAACAATTTTATTGTAAAAAATTATATATTAATCACATACTTTATATGTATCCCAAAAAACCATCAGTAAACCTAATTACAAACAGGTTTTTGTTTCTGTTGTGGTGGAAATTTCGTAGTGATCACTTTTAGTAAAAATTTGAGTCATTACTCTTTTAACAATTTTGTAGCAAAATATTGTATTCTCATTGAAATTTCAATTCTGTGTCTTCTGTTATAAGGAAATCGACAAGCGAGAATTTTAAAACCATGTTTAAGATAAAAAATAACTAAAATTTTTATATAAAAGCTCTTGAAACTTGCAATACAGCAAAAAAGAATGCATACGAAAATGGTGATGTTGGATACAGTATACAGTCAAAAGTCGTAAATCCAGACTCGTCGGGACTTCGGCAATTCCGGATTATCGATTTTTCCGGATTATAGGTCACCAGTTTAAATCTGGTAAGATGGCATGCAGAAATTATAAAATTAAAAATATGAAACCATAATTTATAAAATAAAGAACAATTATGACTATGAGTATCAAAATTTACAAAAAAAAAAAAAAAAAAAAGGCTTAATATTTATTTATTTACTTTATTAAACATTTGTTTCAATGTAAGTTGTTTAAGTTGCTTCGTTTTATGTGATAATACTTCCTGTTTAAATCTATAAACAGACATAATTTCTTCTTCAGTTACAAAGTTCCGCTGTTAAAGTCCTATACAGTCAAAAGTCGTTAATCTGGACTTGTCGGGACTTCGGCGATTCCGAATTATCGATTTTTCCGGATTATAGATCATCAGTTTAAATCTCGTAAGATGGCATGCAGAAATTCTAAAATTAAAAATATGAAAGGGGAATTTATGAAATAAAGAACAATTATGATCTAAAGGGTATCAAAATTTACAAAAAAAAGCTTAATATTTATTTGTTTACTTTATTAAACATTTCTTTCAATGTAAGTCGTTTAAGTTGCTTAGTTTTATGTGATAATACTTTCTCTTTAATTCTATAAACAGACATAATTTCTTGTTCAGTTACAAAGTTTCGCTGTTCAACTCCCGTAATTGCTGTGCCGAGAATACCGACTAACTTGTCAATCAAAATTTTTTCGTTTTAACTAACCTCTCTGTCACCTTCTTCATGTCTTTATCCATTTTTTACAGCAATTCCACTTTTTGTTTGATGGACATCGAAACATACTTTCATTTTGTAGATCTTTTGGGAGCTCCAGCATCAGAAATTCTATTTGACATAATTGAAAGTTCAAGTTTACTTTTATAACATTGCTCTTAAAGTCTGCAAAAAATAATAAGCCGAATCCAATTCGAAGATTAAGGAACAACGCAACCATCAACATTAACTGAAATAGATAATTAGATAATTTTAGCTTATACTGTCCGTTATACATTAAACGCGCACGCAAAAACGTATTCTACGCTTGCGCACACGCCTATGCGCAGTCGTAAAGGTCTTACGCGCACGCGTAAACGCCTATGCGCATGTGTCAACTCGGCGCATGCGCAGAAAGTTTTTAGCTTTGAGGTCCGGATTATAGATTATTCCAGATTATGGGTGTCCGAATTAACGACTTTTGACTGTAATTGCTGTGTCGAGAATACCGACTAATTTGTCAATCGAAATTTTTTCGTTTTCAATAACCTCTGTATCACTTTCTTCTTTATCAGAAGCGAATTATAATGACGAGGAATTTGATTAAAATCATATCAAAAACGGAGTACATCGAGATGAAATACTACATTTAGTAAGGAATTATAAGCGAAATAAAATAAAAACATCTGCCCTGAAGATAAGGATAGTGCTGACAGATTAACTTCCAATTCATTGTGCGCCGCGGCGTTTCGGCGTTTCCCCCCCCTTGGGCCACAGAGCAGCGTGAAATTGATAAACAGATTTCGGAATGGTTTGAGAAACGAAGTATATGCCTTTATCCACTTTTTGCTTAATGGACTTCTAAACATAATTTCGCTTTGTAATTCTTTACATATTAGAAAATATATATCGGAAATTCTATTTGACATAATCGAAAGTTCAAGCTTACTTTTATAAAATTGCTCTAACAGTCTGCAAAAAATAATAAGCCGGATCCAATTCGAAGATTCAGGAACAACGCAATCTGCAACATTAACTGAATTAGATAATTTTAGCTTAGCTTATACCGTCCGTTATACATTAAACATGCAAGCGTAAATGTATTACGCGCACATGCATATTCGCAGCCGTAAAGGTCTTACGCGCATGCGTAAACGCGACGCATGCGCAGAAAGTTTGTAGCTTTGAGGTCCGGATTATAGATCATTCCGGATTATGGGTAATCAAATTAACGACTTTTGACTGTATTTTTCATGCATGTGGTTACCTGAATAACTATTATGCACAAGGTTAACAGAGTTTGGTGCATTCTGAAACTCTAGCGACTTCTACTAAGGTGGTTGCAATAATAGGTAAGTACATATATATATATATATACATTTATATTATACATACATTTGGTACTACCAATCGCAGCAAAAAAAGGAGGAGCATAACCAAATGTTTCAGCAATCCCATATACAAAATTTCAACATTCTGTAGCTAATCATTTTTGAGTTATGCAAGATACACACTTGCATACAGATAACATGAAAATATCTCTTTTGAATCCATTTTACAGTACATTTCGGAAAAAAGAGTATTTTCTTTTGTCTGTATGTATAGACACCATGCAAAAAGCCTTTTAAACCGTGAAAACTAAACAGAAACTTTGAAAAAAGATATTTCTGTTGAAATATGATACCCAAAATTTTTCATGATTACAATACTTCCTTTACTTTTAACAACTAAAAATCATACAAATTCTGCAAATGAATCTGATTTTTTTTTTTTTTTTTTTTTTTTTTTTTTTAAGTATTCCCAATGTATTATGAATGATAATAAACCAGTGACCTGCATATTTTAATACAAAAATTCATAAAAATTGTGTAAAATCTGTGTTCCTCTGTGCAATAATTTTATGCATAATTTTAATTTAAATAAACAATAAAAAATAATAATGAATTTTACAAATGAATTATTACTTGCAGTGTTTTATAAAATATTTGCAATGTACAACTAATGTTAATAAACCAATGATCTGAATATCCTAATACATAAATTCAACATTTTTAGAACAATTATTTTGGAGAATGTATTATGTGATTTTTACTTCACATTCTCTTAAATAATACATAGGCTTTTAACAAATGAAAAAAGAAATGAATAAGGAGGAGGGGGGAAACTTACCACAAACTGTTTTGCAACTAAATAAACACAGAAACTATAAGCAACAGATTTGCTATTCTCAGTTGAAGATTTACTCCTTAAAATTGAGAGGATGCGATTTATTTTATCTTTCACATGTGAACCAGAAAAAGATGATACAGCATTAATAGGAAGGGTTATAGCTTTTCTCAGTTCAAAGCAATACTTCTTATTCTAAGGTGAAAAATAAAGTTATTATTAAAATAACAACAACAAACAAACAAACAAAAAACTACAGTATTTTAAACAAATAAGAAAAATAAAACATATATAAAGAGAAATAATTCTTTTAGATTTTAATTTACCTAATTTTCTTAAATAACTAATCAGTCCTCCCTCACCACCACACAAAAATAAAGTCAATCTGTTGGCATTCCAGAACAAGTTACTGAACTTAACTAAAACAAATTTATTATTTTTATCAAAATGCTATCTGTCAAACACATGCCTTTATGGACAAATTTCATAAGCAACGTTGAATAATATTTACATGTTACATATGGTGAAACAAAGAGCAATCAGTCTTTTCATTTATTAGAACAGATCTTGGGGCAAATTATCAGTTTATTAGGGCTTTAGCCACTTTGCTGACAATCATGACAAACTATTAGAAAATAAGCATTTTTATTCCTTTAATTATAATTTTATTATGTTTTACACCTAGCAGCTATAGCTACGTGTACTGAGAATTCTATACCAATACTGGAAAGGAAACAAGAGGTATTATTTATTATATTATACAAGACAAAATTATCGTGTCAGTTAAAAGAGTATTTCAAGAGATTACGTGAAAATCCGATAACCAAATCTGCTGGATGTAAAGCAGAAACATGATAGGCTCAGATGAAAAGTGACTGGCTTCCATTAAGATGTTGTGGCTTGAAGAAAGCATGCTGCGATTTTCACGCACTCAAAAATCAGGAGATTTTTTTAAGAAATCAGGAGATTTTTCACAATGTTAAAAAGACTTTTTAAATGATAAAAATATAGTTTTTAATAATGAATGAACTTTAAGTAGTAACTAATTCTTAAATGCAAGCAACACAAAATACCTTACACATAAAAAAATTTTTACTACACGCATCGTTTAAGAAAAAAAAAAAAAAAAAAAAAAAAAAAAGACTCTTTAATCAGTTTTCGTACAAATGTTATAAACAGTGGCAGATTTTGCTTTCTTTAAGAAAGAAACTTTATCATTGTGTTCACAGCAATTACCACGTAGGCCTGCTTTTGCTGATAAAAGTTTTTCTAATGTGCCATCTCTAATATTAGATCTAAATTTAGTCCTCGTTTTCGCAACAACACTGAGGAACATCTCACACTCTGCATTACTATAGGGAACTGTCAAGATGACCAACACAATTCTAGACAGTTCACTATATTTTAAAATTCCATCAGCACCTTTCAGTTTTGCAATTAAACTCCACTGGGTGTCAATCGTAGCTGATTTTATAACTTCATCCAAGTTTTCTAATTGTAAACTGCTGTTATGCAGCTGTTGGAACTGTTTTAATTTTCCTTCCTTTTAGAACTCCTTTCAAGATAATAATAAATATCAACAATGTGTTCATCTACATTTATTGGTAAAGAAGTTGCCCCTTTTTCAGCTGCTAAATTTAAGAGGTGACAGGTGCACCTCATAATCTGAATTTTCCTTTCTTAAGATGCCTGCAACACCAGCCTTCCAAGCCTACCAATACTGGTGCATTATCGGCACCAAGTGCTAAGCAATTATCCAGAGTGCCTGCAGTTTTCTTTTAAAGTTTTAATAATTAGCTGTGCTATATTAAAGCCTGTCAAATGTCCTTATAAAGTGGGAACATAAAGTAAACTGCACTCAATTTCTGAAGACTCTGGATCAAAAAAAGAAACAACAATTGGATACAGTTTTGAATCGGTATTATTGCTTCCATCAGTAGAGAGGCAAACCGGAGCTGTTTTAATGCAATCAATAACTGAAGATTTATTTTTCAAACCCATTTCTTTAACAATTGCACCTGTTTTGATTCTTGCACCTTGAGTATTTCTTGGCGATTTCACTATCGGGAAATATTTTTCTAAATAAAGCTGCAGCGTGATCCGATGCATTCAGTAGCAGGTTGTGCTCCAGTAAAAAGGCAGAGAACAGACATTCTGCATTAATAACTTTTTGGTCCTTTGTTTCCGAAGAAAAATTTAATTTTTCGTTTTTTTCAAAACAACTCATGTTATCCTTGTGTTTTTGTGTACGCACATGTTTGAGAACATCCGCCCTTCCAACCATACGAAATCGAAAAAATCGCAACGACAGGCGGTACACATCGCAAATTTATTACATTTCCCTTGAGGAGGAATGGATAATGGAAGGTAAGTCAACTGTCTACGATTTTTGAAACGTACACGAGTATTTCACCTTTTCTCGCAGACGTAACAAAAGATGATAATTTCTAAAACTATTTCCCTAAAGCACGTGTACTCACACAACTCAGGACAAAATGAACGAAATAACTAAAAAGAATGTCCAAATAACAACTTGCTTTGTCCTCATTAGCTAATATATGCCAGCTGACACGCAGTGGAGCTCGAAGCCTATTGGAGAACTGGAGAATGACGTTTCTGGATACGTATAATGCTCTCACTCACAAAGCAGAAGCTATCTGATTCGCAAGGTTTTGTTTTAGATATAATGTAGAGAAAATTCAATTGCTTTCAGACATCCAAAAGCACTTTTTTTATTCATATAACAAAGTATTAAGCCAAGTTGCATAAAAATCGTGAGAAATATTAAGAAAAAGAAAAAGTCAGGAGAAATATATTGTAAATCGGGTTGGCGGGAGAGCGGTCGAAAATTGGGAGTCTCCCGCCTAAATCGAGAGAGTTGGCAACTCTGTAATGCATTATGTTGTTGCTCCCGACTCTCCTTGCGCCTTATGCAATCTTAAGGAAGACATGGACTTGCCACATCTCCGCAAATGGCCTGCCCTTCCTCGTATTCTGATTTGGAAGCACTACTGGGTGGTGAGGAACAACTCGAGTTCATAGATATACTGATGTCAAATTTCTGATCTTTGTTTTATATTTTATTTGATGTTGAGTTACCTTGAAATGTCATTAGAAATAAATAAATTTTTAAAAAATTAAAAGAAAAAAAAAAACTATTATTCCTAACTTTATATTGCTTTTCCAGAATATTTTTTACAAAATGATACTGATTAGCACACAAAATTATTACAATATTGCACAAGTTGAATCAGAGAAACAGGCAGTTTATAGAATTAAATCTACAAGGAAAGATAGCCATGAAATCAAAAATTCTGGTGAGTACTTATGTTTCAGTGGTGCAGATGTGTTAAATAGTGTTTTAATAGTTAATGTAATTTAATAGTACAACTTAGTCACAAAGCCACAGAATACAATGCATTCATCTTTCTTTGAAAATACCAGTCTTTTCTTTATTAACTCCAGGATGTTCCTCATTACTTGTTTATTAAATGGAATGTGGTTTCCATGAAGCTAGTAAGGAAATAATTATAATCTGTTTCTGAGTCTTGTTCAAAATCTTGAAACATTGCCCCCCCCAAAAAAACCCCATTAAAACACCCTTGATGTAAAATGCTATTAATTAAACTAACTTATTAGTTACAAATATATTTATATACACTAGGTAGACACACAGTTTTGGCAGTGTATCACTTCAGCTCGGTATGAATATTTGCAGTATATGCATTGTAATGTTATATATTTCAATTAGAACTTAAATACTGCTTTTACCAGCGTATAAGACACCACCACACTATAAGACTCACCCCCCTTTTATGCACATTTTTGAAGGATAAAGCTTTATTACTGATCATTATAAATAAATTTACAGTATTTTAAATATAAAGTAATACTTTCTGCAAATACCCAAGCTATGAGTTGCTTTTTTTAGATCCTCTTCCTGATTCCACCAAGTTCTTATCATTTTCTCAGTTCAGCATGGCTTGAAATGCCTCTCTGCGACCCTATTTCTATGTTCTTTAGCATATGCAATCACAATTGTGTGCTAGGTTATAGTAATGCCGACGGTGTTTCTGAGCCATAACTTGCCATCAAATTTAAGAAAACTGAACAGTAGAAATTTCACACACTTAAAAGGTGTTCACAAAAATTGGAAAACGAACTCAGCTGTGCTAGTCAATGATAGCGTATGCCCATTTACTGAACTCTATGTAACTGCAATATTCCCATATTCCACAAGAAACAAAGAAACAAAAAAAATCACATAACTCCAAATAGAGAAAATTTCCAGAGATGAATCTAATCAAAACCTGAGTATCGATGAATGAGACACAACCCATTTTTCAGACTTATTTTCAAAGAAAAAAAGTGTGTCTTATACGCCGGCAAATACGGTATAATATTACTTGTATATCACTATTCATGCTTTTTTTTATGTGGACATTTTAAAGTATAACTTTTATTCGAATGTCTATATCTTAAATCAGAATTTTGCCCTTTTTTGTGTGTGTGTCATGACTATGTCACTGTGGTAGTCTCATGTTTGCTGCCCTTGCTGCCAGATGGTGTCATGTTGTTTTCATAACAACCACTGAAGCGATAAGCGAGCTCATTCACATTGCCCTTATCTTGTGAGCAGGGAAGATTTGAGTATTCGGGTAGAAATTTCACTGTTTTAATGAATAGTTGGTGGTTTAGCGATGTGGAGACATGTCTTCTAAGAATATTCACTGAGCCATATGCTTCAAACCTATAATCTTTATACCCCTGTGTGCAGTTGCAGTGTTCAAAAGCCTGCTGCTGTGACATGAAATTTACATAGATATTTGACTCCCATATATAAATGCAGTAAAGTTTGCCTGACAAATTATACACAGTATTGGTACATTTACAGAGTACTAATTCAGAAGTCAAACAACAAAAATTAGCGTTATATTTACAAAATTTTCACAGTTACACTGTGAAAATTTTGTAAATATAATGCTAATTTTTGTTGTTTGACTTCTGAATTAGTATTTATTCGGCGTGTTATTGTGTCTTAATTTACAGAGTATTTTTCTCTCTTTCAAATCGCAGGGCTTTTTTTCTAAAATTAGAAACACTGGAGCCTTACAGTAGGTTTTCAGAAAGAATAATGAAAATAAATCAATAAACAATGAATAAATTAAGCAAATAAAAACAAATAACAAATCAAACATAAAGAGTAACCAATAAAACTGCTAATAAATTTATGATACGTAAGTAAATCATAAATTAAATAAAAGTAACACAATAAACAAATGAAATTGCGAGTCATGGCACCAAAGATAAAATAAAAGTACATACTTTGAACAGTATTTGTGATAGGATAAAAAGCTTTTTTATTTTGCTTTTTTATATATTTAAATTTTATTTTTCTTGACTGATATATACAGTTAATAAAAATATCACTTTCTGAATTGAACTCATTTTGATACGGGATGTTTTTTCTCCAGCAGCCTAAGGCTTCTGCATATTTAGTTCATGCAAAGAAAATTAAGCCATACATTCCATAGGTAGTAACAATATCAATTTTACAAATTGCTAAAAGAAATATAACAGGACTATCACAGTTTTGTAATAATAGTGCAATTCATTAATACAGTAAAATGTCATAACTCATCACATTTGGGAACTGATTTTTCTCAAGAACTGAGAAGTATTGCAGACCAGCAATGGTAAATTCAAGCTGAATTTAAGGATGGCTTACTGAGACAAAAATGGATTCTAATGCTTTAATTTAACCTTTAAAAAAGAAATACAGTAAAGAAAAAATAGCACAATCATTTTCATAGAACAATGCATAATTTCAAAGACTGACTCAAGCAAAAATTCAGCTCCTCCATCAAAGCATTGCTTAAGCAATGAAACATCAATCCAGTCACATATACGTATCTGCTATATATCATCATATTGTGACTCACTACACAACTCATATTTTTATAACCTATGACTTATTTACATGTTTAATTAAAAATTAAGGGTCACAATAAACTACTAGATATGTGAAAGTATAGCAGTATCTATACTAAAAGACAAAACTTACTTGAGCATCATTTGCAAATGCCTTTACTTTTTTATCTGTAAGCTCCAGATTTTCCATTATTCTGTGGTAATCTTCTGCAGCATCAGAAGCTATAAACTTTGCTAGTATAATTTTAGCTTCTGTTAAAAGAATACAAATGATTATGCTAGAAAAATGCAAAACAATTTCTTTGCCCTCATAAAAAAATATTCTAAAAAAACTAAAGATGGCAAATTATATCTATTATAAATGTTAAATGAGACATTTTATTCAAAAGAGAGTATAAATAACTAAATTTCCTTTAGACAGAAGTACCTGTATTTATTTTATTTTTTGCAGGCATTTCAGCATTAATTTTCTTCTGTGAACCAGAAACAGTGAGTACTTCCGCAGTTTCACTTTTTGAAACAGCTGTTTAAAAATAAGGGGATAAATCACATGGCAAGCATTCATTAATTTAAAATAATTCTTAAATAAATTAAACTTTAAATCAGAATTATCATCTACATATCACATATGAAACCAGAAGTATAAACACATTATAGATGAACCTCTCCTAAACAATGTTGATGGAGCCATATCTGTTATCAAGGAGAGTTTGCAAAACAAAAGCACATTGTTTTCCTACTTTGAGGGTCCATTAATTCCGCGAATGTTCACTGGTGGACATTTGACTGTATATAGAAGTGTATATAGAAGCATATTACAAAAAATATCACAAAATTGATTACAATAATTCCATGAAGCTGCATATTTGGCTGAAATCTCAAACTGAGAAAAGACAGTCCTTGTAGAGAAAATTTTAATTTTAATTTTGAATTAAACTAACTAACTGAGCACAAAAATTCAAGTTTATTAGAAAAAGTTAAAAACACAAAAACCCTCCTTTTCAATTATCAAGGAATTTATATAGTCAGAGTTTTGTCATGTAAAATATTGTTTTTGGTTTCCATAATTGCTCCAAAATTTTAACAATGGTTATCAACTAAGACAACTACATCTCCCATCTTGTAACAATAGGTTTAGATGGTACGGAATACCTGGAGTTTTCCCTTAAAAGGTTGGATTCTTCTATAGGAAGCCTCAGGGAAAAAAAAATTTCCATGTTTTCAAAAAATAAATAAATAAATAAATAAATCAGGAAAAAGGCTTTTATATTTTTAGCAATTTTGTACTAAGTTAAGCTAAATAAATGAAGCATACATGGAAAAAGACATTGGACGCTTTTGCTAAATTTTTATGCAGGTTGTTGCAATATTAAAAAATAACAGAACTCTTTCATAATCTATTCCAGATGTGGGAAATGTGCAGCCTTCAGGCCGCATGCAGCCTCTAGCTCTTGTATTAGAAATATTTAATTACATAGATTACAACAATTTGAAAATTAATAGAATTAAATAACATGCTGCCACTGAGCATAGCATGAATTAGAATGCTGCAATGTTGCAGTTCTAGCAGTCTTTTACAGTCTGAAATTATTGCCATTCTGGCATACTTTTTAGTTTGGCAATGTCCAACAAGAGAAATCCTTCTATTTTGTTCTTATTTTGGATGTGGCTCACCCCTACTTGAAGTACACTAACTCTGCTGCTATAGCAATCACCAACCATCAGATACCGTGACGGTGGCTGTTCTGACTACACACACAGTACCTGCTTTTCTCCTGCCCCCGACCCCTCAGCATTCCTCTGTATGTTGTGGATTTGGTGATTAGTAGTTATCTGTGCATACTTGTAATAGTCTCATCTCGTATTACTATCAGCCATTGTGAAAATCTAGTTAAAAACACAAAAAAAAAAAATCTAGTTACACAAAAAATCTAGTTTTTTTTACTTATTTTGCAGGGATAAATAGAAAGGGTAGTTCATTCCTTTGTTCGACTCCTCGCCGACGCAAGCCTAATGGGGGGACTTAACCAGCAGTAATCTGACGTCACTATGATGCACCTGTTCCGATTTCCTGCGTTTAAAACTGTAGTTTCATTCAGCTGCTAGACGATTGTCTAGAAGTTACATATCCCAAATTAATTTTAATCATATATATTTGTTTTGTAATAATGTAAATATTTAAAATAACTTACACATATATAATTTTAGTCAGTTTTTATTTTAAATTCTACACTGTAAACTATCGTTTATGTAATATGGCTTTTTGCGCTGTACTAACGTGCCGTAGCACTTACAGAAGTGTGAAAGGATGAGATATTTTATTTCATGGGACCAAAGGACCCAAATGAGAATTTGCTTTTGACGAAAGAATGGATACACAAATGTCAAAGACAAGATTCTATTAATGTGAAGAGCGGAAAAATCTGCAGCGAACATTTTCTATGCAGTGTTCATGAAGATGATATGAAAAATCACTTGTTTGGATAGCCACAAAAAGAAACTGTTGAAATGGAATGTTGTGTCGAAAGTAAATTATGATGCCAATAATAAATTGAAATTGAAGATGACAATAATAAATCAAATGTTAATGATTTTAAAATAAAACTCACGAATGAAAACATAGATATTCCTGAATGCCCCAAGTTTAAGAATAAACAAGAATGCATTGATAATTTGAAGAACAAAATAGAAAATTGTATTAAAGTATTGAAAAATAGAGAAAAGGAAAATTTTAGAATGTTTGTTCAGCGGCAAAGAAAGTGGACGATATCTAGAAAGAAATTGGTATCAGAAATTAAAATCTCAAATAGCTAAATTTGGGGGGGGGCAAGCACAAATCGGAGAATTTGGAAAAACGTCTAAAGCCTATTTTTATAAAGACACAGATTAATGCATTGCTGAAAAAGAAGGAAAAAATCAGGTGGACTAGTGAAGATATTTCACGTTGCATTGTCATAAAAACTCTGTCATCTTAAAGCTATGATTTTTGGAAAGAAAAAAATTGGAATTCCTTTACCTAGTATTAGCAAATTTTAAAAAAATGGAGCTAAATTTTAGTGTAGTCCAAGAATTCAAAGTGATATTCTTACTCTAATGAAGGAAAGAGGCGAATATTTGAATTCTGTAGAAAAAACATGCGTTTTCAGTTTTGACGAAATGCATATAGATTGAAAACTCTGCTTTGACTCTAAACTGGACCAGGTTCTCGGTTCTTTTCAAAATAAGCAGTTTGTTTTAATCAGAGGTCTCATTTCGTGATCTGCTTCAAATCACAGAGAAACCACGTTTTAGATAAAGGATTTGTTTTAGAAGATGGAACTGTTTTAAATTTTGATATTATTAAAAAGGTTTTAAATAGAGGTTCAGAAGAAATCAAATTGTGTCACAAACTAAAACCGAATTAGTTATTTAATGGTCAAGGGAAACGAAAGACAAAAAGTCGCTCCAGCGAAAACATTATTTTCAAAAACTACCGCAAAAGGTATACTCCACCTCACAGGAAATCAAAAAGCATCTGACTTCTATTACAAATAGTACTAACTAGAATATGTTAAAGTTATTCTTATTGTATCCTTTGTAACTAATTATCGATTCGATTTTGTGTTAGACTAGCATTCTAGCTAAAATATGATAGTATAAAACATCAAAGTAAATGGCATAAAAAACCTGCCTCCTTTACTCACACTTTTGAAAATTTAATAACTGTTTTAGGTACTGTGAGTAAAGCTATTTTGTCAAAATTAAGGTAGCAATCTTACATTTATTTAATTGTAATATAGATGTAAGTATAAATTACAAAATTATTTTTAAAATATCTTTTATTATATTGAATCAGAAGAGAAATATGCTAATGTAAAATTTACAATTACACAAAAAATCAAATGAAGATTAGCAGAAATTTTGTCATATATGTTTAAAACTATGTCAATGTACAGTTGTTTTTGAGTAAATTTAAATAGCTACTATTATAGTTATCTTAGAAGCAGTATAAAAATTCTCTCAGTTAGCATGCAGATAAAAGAAATGATTATAAATAAACATGCATTAAACAAAAAACCTGCAAATAATAATAACAATAAAAAAATACCACGGAACTTTATGTTAAAAGAGTAGTGCATTTTATCTATTATTTTAAAATGAGTAAGTATTATTAAATTTTTTAATGGTTCAGTGTAAAATGCATACAGCAGTAACATTGTCGCTTCCAAATTATAGCTATCTTTCACACACAGCTCATTTTAAACGCTGGTTCAAAAACGCTAATTTCTAAGCTGTAAATTGCATCTCCGTGCTCAGTATCATCATAACTACGTCATCACTTCTCACTTTCTGCTTTAGGGGGAAAAGCTCTATGAGCTAGCCCTTCTCTTCTAAGTCCTGCTTATTATGAGGTTTTACTAATACACTGTTTTATTGTATCTTTAGTAAATATATGCTTTCTTAAATATACTATTCGATATTTGTTTTTCCCTATCCTGTCAAATTGTAAGAAAAGAAAATTAAATGAAGAAAACAGAACTGAACATTTAATGTAGAGTGAGAGTAAGATTATTTCTTTGCTCCTGTTAAAGATAAAATGGTGTGTTTATTGTAAGTTATGCAGTTTTGATTACTTAAAAAAAGCGAACACAATTAAACATTATTTGACTCATAAAGTACAAATATATTTCAGTTCAGAAGGTGAATCTCGACAAGCTGCAGTTCAAAAATTGGAAAGGAAAAGCATCATCAACAGGTGTCGTTTAATGCTTTTGTAAAGAAAAATACCCTTTCAGTTGCTGTTACTTACAAAATAGCATATGCACTTGAAAAAAAGAGGCAGACCATTTAGAGATATAGAAAAAATTAAAGTATGTATTGTTGAAGCAGAAAGTATATTAGATCCAGAAAAAGTTGAAAAATATAAACAATTGCCTCTTTTAAAAAGAACTATAACAGATTACTAATACAAATTAGCTGAAAATGTATCAGAACAACTTCATACAACTGTACAAAATGAAGATGTTTATTTTTTAATTGTTTTAGACGAAAGCATTGATAAATGTGACTCGGTGCAAGTTTTATATTTTATTTGTGCTGTAACTAAAGATTTTCAGTGCCATGAAGAATTTCTTACGCTGCACACACTAACTGGAAGGAAGAACTTGCAGAGTTGACATTTTTAAAAACCTCCCATTGATTACAATTAAATGTCAGTAATTTAGTCAGTGCCTGCATCTATGGCACAACTTCCATGACAGATAAAAAAGAAGGATTCATTGCTTTATTAAAAAAGGGAAACTTGGAAAAAATGATGTCATTTCACTGCATTTTGCATCGGCAAAATCTCTTCGCAAAAATTACTGTTTTAAAAGACACTAGATAGAACTATTTCAATTGTCATCTATATTGGCATAAATGCAACGTGTCATTGTGAATTTTGGCAGATGCTAAATTTAGAAGAGGAAACAGTGTTCTACCATACTACTGTAAGGTCCTCTGGCTATCAACAGCACAGGTTTTGATAAAAGTTTTAACTTTAAG